TTTTGTAACTTGTGATGGTTGCCAATATGTTTCATACAAATTTGCATATAAAATAAATATGCAAAAACCTTATCTTGATATTTGTCTGTTTAACAACCAATGGGATCGGAAATAAGTGGCATTATTACTTTTTCAAAGGTCTTCCTGGACAGAGAAAACACACAATACAGACATCCTTTCTAATTCTATACACACCAGCTGCTGATAGATGAGAAACCAGTTCTGGCTCAAGGAAACGCATCAACTTGATCGTATAATTTTGCAATTTGTGAACACTACAGGTAATAACGCATTGATTTCTCCACTGATATAAATTATTCATCCGATTTGACTCAGCAGACATTACAGACAAATGGCAAAATTGGTGTGAATAGAGAAAGGAGAGTCCTGTACTGATGTACTACTGTTAGATGAGCCACGACCTGACAAATGACCTCAATTTGCAGATATGGGAACGCCCTCCAGAACATTTTATTTGAAAAATGAGGGAAACAGGTTGTCGTCTAAAACTTGAAAAGTTCAATTTCCTCATGCGAATCATGTTTTAATACGTTTTAAAGTTGCCTTGGAAAGACACGTTGCAAGGCTACTTTTTGACATTGCTTCTACTTTGGTTGCACACGTCTTTTCCACATAAATAATAACAGTGTAGGCTAACTCCCTTGCCTGAGAATGAAAAATTTTCCCATGCTTCCCTAACTTGGACGCCACGGTCAGCATGTATTGCACTTGCTTAATCGCCAATCTACCTGTAGCAACCAAGTGTATTCGTCTAGATTCCCTGCCCCGCCTACTTGTCACAAACGCATGTAGTGCGCAGGCTCATCTAATACGAGTCAAGCATCCAGTCCAATGTATGGGCTCTCAATCATCACGATGATACCAATCCATACTGCAAGTACCCTACTTGTAACTATACATCTGGAACCGATATATCAAGTAAGCAATATATCATATAACAAGTACTAAATAACCCTTGAAAAAGTGTCTAGATTGTGAGCATGACCAATGACAGTGTACTGTTTGTATTCAATCACATTTATAGATGCACTCGCAGATTTGTTCATCTGAGTACCATATATCCACTTGTGCATATAAATTGCAAACACCATGGTAGATATTACTTGCTTTCATTGGAGAAATTCAGCTTGGGAAAGCCATGGAGATACCAAAAGTTTTCATAAACATCCAAGCAAAAGCTGCAGGTGGCAAAAGACTGACGTAGTTATACAAAGCACCACTGAGGTGAATGGAAAGGATGAACATGTTCATGCACACAGAACTGAATGTTTACAGTTTACCTGTCCAGGGAAAAGTTCACAATTTCTATATATCCTTCCATCTTAAAATCAATAAGAAAAAAGAGAACAGTCTCAATGCCATATTGTTCAAAAACACCTGAACAATTGAGTTCAAGATCATGAAACAAGTTTCCTATCAATGCATACAGAAGAAAGTGCCATGTTTACACACACACACAGTCGCTACCATTGAGCAAAACATGCATGCAGTTCTGAAGGTTGTGAGGTCTCCAAATCATGGATCTTAGTCGAAGGGCCAATGTCCTCCTACATGAAAATGCAACTAAGCTACGTCAGATATTTACCTTATCAATGTTGCATGTTTTGACAGAACACAAAGTCCTTGCTCAACATAGGAAAACATAGGGCCATCATTAAATCCTTCTGTGTCTAGGGCAACACAACCCAGTCTTACAAAGTTGGCTTTATGGATTGGGGTTATTTATTATCCAGACAATTACTTGACTACAGACAGATACACTTGAGAGGTACATCAGGGTTTATCAAACCTGCTCAGAGGCTAATATATGGCCACAAATCTGCGGCAAATGTCAACATAAATTCCCACATTGGAATAACAAATTTCCCAATTCCTATTAAGGCTTAAAAGAAGTAGTATTGGCTCTCAGGCATTGCCGCACCATCACCAGGTCTGCCACACGTTTCGTTATTATTTCCACTTTGGATGAATATGCTGTATCTCAAACACACAATCCTGGCAGTGAAATTCTGCAATACTATGAACAAATTGATCCAATATAGCGTACAGTAGGGCTGTGATGTTTCACTGATTTTACATATATTCAGTGAATCGTATCATCAACTTTCATGAAATCAGTTCATTATTTATAATCACTTGAATCAAATATTCATGATTTTTTTTTAAAAAAGGAGTGTTTTTATTTGAATTTTGGTGGTATTTATCAAAGTGAAATATGCAAAATGGAATAAATGTAAGCCAAGCAGGATATAAATCAACATTCATATATATTTGATCTGACAGTAATTTGTTCATTGTCAGGATAAATATATTGACATCCAATGATCGAGGGAAAAAATACCAGCACCTTGAGCAAGCACTAGTGCGTGGATATAAATATAAATATCCTATAATAATAATAATAAATATACATTGTCACTATGGTTAAAACATGTTAAAGATTACATTTTGTTATTGTTTATCTGAACATGATGATTGATACTTCAGCTGCATACTTGTTATTGTATTCATTACCCCAAACTCATACCACACTGGCTTCACAGTGGACTTGATGAGTCCCTGGCATGCCCACTGCTTAATCTTGTGTAATGGTGTTCAGGCAGCAAGTCTTTTTAGCTAGTTATGCTGTTTGCTAACTTGGTCAATGACAATTTGAAATTTGTATGGAACATCATTCGACATGACGATTTACATATGAAATGGTATTTGTGTACATGGTGCCAGACTACAGGTGTGTTTGCCTTGTGAAATAGCAGGACATTGCAAATCAGGATACTGAAATCTTAAATAAAACTATCACAATGCATTAGTTTTGGATGTCTAGATACATTTGCTATTTCCGGGTCTATGTGCTTTTGATAACGATTTTTGCGTTGAGAAGCAAAATAAAAGCTCATTGTACACATGTGTTACGTAAACATTGACAGTCAAATTTAGCCAAATACTGTATTCTAGAATGACGGGCAAATAGTTAATCTGTGATATTAAAAGCAATGTATGTATTTTGTGGGATATTCAACAGTAATATATATAGTATGACCAGAAATTATTGAGAATTTTAGGAATATGTTTAATTGGATTTCTAGTATAAACAACCTTGACCAGCTATCAAGTGCTTGGTTTCATTCAAGAGAGACAACTCCGTTAACCCTTTTTCATTAGTTTGTGAAGAGTTATCCCCCTTTGTTTACTTGCTAGCAGATGACATTTTCAGTGATCCTCAGTATGGATGATTTAGAGAAAAGGAAGTTGATTTTAGAGTATTATACCAAGGACATCAGATCAGCTAAAGTGATTTCAAGTAGAACAGGCATCCCTTTGTCCACTGTTTATCATGTTTTACAAATGGATATGGCATTGAGCACCAGGGAGGCGCAGGTAGGCCCAGAAAATTGACTCTCGGTGACAGGAGGTGGCTTGATATTCTTGTTTCTTAAAATTAACGAAGGAGTTTAGAAAACTTAAGGTTGGATATCATTGATAGAGGAACTGTGGCTGTCTGTAAGGAGACAATTAGAACTGAGCTGCATGCAATGGGTTGGCAGAAAAGTCGAGGAATTCCATCACCGATCATGAAACCTGAACAAAAGAAGCGAAGGTTGAACTGGTGCTTACAGCATAGAAATGTTAACTGGGACAATGTGATTTTCTCAGATGAAAGTTCTGTGTGGCTGTTTCTGAAATTCTGGACTAAACAAACTGAAAAACCTTTGTATCAGCGCACAAAGTACAGTCCGAAATTTAACATGTGGGGTGGCATATCTGTGTTAGAGACAACGCCCCTCTGTGTATTTGAAGGGAATATGAAGAGTGAGCGGTACACAGATATTCTCGAGGGACATTTACTTCCATCTGCTCACATGTTCTATGGAAATTTTTGGATTTTCCAGCAGGACAATGACCCAAAGCATCGTTCAAAGCATTCACAGGCCTGGTTTCGGACCCAAAATATGACATTATTAGATTGGCCAAGATATCGCCCTGACCTAAATCCAATACAAAATGTTTGGGGGCTTATTAAATAAAGTGTCAATAAGAAAAATCTGACAAATATTGCTGAAATGAAAGAAGAGGTGGTCCGATATTGGGACAGCATGGACCACGACTTTCTAACTTCTTTGATCAGTAGTATGCCCCGCCGCATTGAAGCCTGCATTGCTGCCCATGGTGACTTGACAAAATACTAACTGTTCACCTGTCTTTGAATCTGGAGTTATGTTCTGCTAATATTCACATTTAACACGTGAGTAATGAGTGAAAAACATAAAAAATCACAATCTTTAAATTCTCAATAATTCCTGGTTGTACTGTATATAAATACATATATGTATACATTCTTTATTTTTTCTCATGTTTTATTGTCATTGTACAATAGCATGAAGAAAAGCATATCTTCATATGAAAACAAAGGTGACCATAGAAACATATGTGCATCTATTTAAGTCCACACATCTGTTTAACTGGTTGTTAGGCACGAATATATTGTTTGTGATCTTGATACTGTACTGTATACTGTACATACTGGATAACATCAAGGAGCATTGTGTGAATTACAACTGTACGGAGGCCCTTTCCAAGGGTGAGAAAACAAAAAATGCCCCTCGAGTTTACCAGTTTATTAAAAGCCATTGCCTGAGAACTAATTCTTATATTTCTCAAGCCTAACATAGTTACAATTCATGTAACAGCTTCATTGAGGTGACTTGTAGTACACAGGTGACAAAATCAATTTAGAGGAAGAGACATTAATGCTTAGCTTAACATTATTGCACTGAATGAAATGTTAAAAAAACAGAAACAGCTAACAAAGAACACTTTCACATCAGATATATATTGTAATTTTAGGCACGTTGTTGAAAATAAAGTTCTTTTCAACATGGTCAATGTGACCTAGAGGACAGTGTAAGCAGGGACTCTGCGGTGTTCTGTCACTGTGACCCAGAGGATGTGAGGTTTCTGAGAGTGCAATAAGTCCTTACCAGCATGGGACACAGTGTAGTCAGCTGATCATACAGTAGTCGAGCCTCGTCGATGTTGCAAGCCTGGAAGGTCACTTGAAGACATGAGTTGCCCATGCCGAAGCCCATACAGTCCATGTATATGTTGTCTGGTTTGGCCGCTCTCTGAGCCTCGCCATCGTCTCCCAGGACAGAAAAGTCTTCTATAAATGGATCTTCCGTGTTGACGTCCTTATACACTGAAGGATAGGCAAATAAAGAATTCTTCAATCATGCTAAATGTACAGATATATGAAATATATGTTTGGTATCAGTGATATGTCTACAATACCATGAGGGATGACCTTATTCATGTATAGTTGATGGATAGGCAAATGATGCATTCTGGAAACACCCTGAAGGTGCAGATATACATAATGTGATCTTGTAGCAGTGTTGTGTCTACGATACAATAGGGAGAAATGATGTCTTGCTACAATGTGGTGGATATTATGTCAACATAATTACTTCGGGGTTTAGTAACCATGGTAACAGTATGTAATAATGTTGTTTATGCGCTCAACTATGAATGAGCTTGCAGTTACATCAGTTAGTTAAATTCATTGTTCATGTGATGCCCACAAACAGAATAATATCAATCTTTCTGAAACATATTTTTCTTCCTTTGCAAATTCGTGAAACAGACTCGTATGATATGGTTAAATATTGTGATCTCATATGTGTCAATCATCGGGCAACATGGTTGTGAGGTATATTTCTTGCCTGATTTTCTGCAGTTTCAAAAGTTTTAAAGGACACAAAAAGAATGATGAGTAGTGTATCAATAAGAAGGTAGGAAGCAAGGTCATCAAAGTTACTCCTCACCTGGTACATTGATGGTTACTTTCTCTCCACGACGTTCCCTTATATTCCTTGTTAAAGTTCTGAAAGAGGATATGGTTCATCTCAGTTAAGGCTTCTGACACCTTGCATATGTACAATGCAGTCAATCATTTAACAGACAAACCTGTGAGGGATCGAAATTGTCCTTCATTTGTGTACCATGGCACAGCAAATATTGAAATGTGCCCCTTGGCACGACATCAAGTAATAGTCACCATGATTCTTTTCATGGAAAATGCAATAAATTTGACAAACTCAAATGATCCAAAATCTATTTTTGCACCCCATCAAACTGCTTATCGGTGGCACTTTCCATCTCACAGCCTAACATGGGAGTGGCCATTTTGAATGCCATTGTGCAAAACAGGAAATCATGTTTTGGATGGTAACATGATTGGTGGATTGGGCCCATGACAAATGACCTATTCTTGCAGTCATGAATGTGTTCAGGAGTTCTAGCTGTCACATTTTTAGGTTTACATGGTGTTTACTGATACATTAAACAAGAAATTGAAATGATATAATTGTTGTGATTACGTTTAATTAGACTGACTGACTGAGTTTTACGCCGCTTTTAGCAATATTCCAGGCAACATCACGGCGGGGGACACCAGAAATGGGCTTCACTCATTGTACCCATGTGGGGATTCGAACCCAGGTCTTCGGCTCGACGAGCCAACACTTTAAGCACTAGACTACCTCACTGCCCCACGTTTAATTAGATTATCAAAAGGTATGGGAACACTTATTTCTACCTCTGCTGTCTCTGTAGTTAAGCAAACATGGCCAATCAAACTTTTGACAATGCAATGTGTACATCTTTCATTGGATTATCAATCATATTTAAGACAAGTTATTTCAGAGTGGGACAGCAACAGAGAAACAAAACCTGATTCATCAAAACGAAAAATACAACCAGCAGGAGAGAAAGTTTCCATGTAAGATTACATGACTAAAGCAAGTTTGAAGATGATATTTAGTCATAACCATGAGGCTGTACCACAGAATATACTCATCTTATCTCGTCTTGAATAGGTCTAAATCATACACAGATAAACCTTTAGCCATGATGGGATCATTTTATGTTTTATGATGACATAACAAAAATATTTTAAAATCCTTTAATCATGTAATCAATATCACTGAACATGAACAAATTGAAGTGAAGTCAAGTAAGCATGACAGTACTTAAAGCGTGGATGACCACTGTTGATGGCTTCGTCAGGGAAGAAGAGAGATCGTGAAGCCCCAGATGTTGGCGTGGGCTCATATGTTGGCACAGTGAAATTGGGACACCCAAGTCTGAAAACAGACATTCTGTATGAGCAATGTTATCTATACTCAAGTCTCCATCTGCAAATAAGACACTTTAATGCATAATATATTCATAATGAAACTACATCAACTCACTCTTCAACTAATTAGTACCATCTAAGGTCTTGCTGCGAAGATATGCTCTGGACATGGTAGTACCACACTTTTCTATTTGGTTAATGAATATGGCTGATCAGAGGCATGGGTCATAAATACGATAGAAGTATTGGTTACATGCTCAACATCAAAACATCCTGCTTCTGGTATCGGCCAAACTGAAGAAATAAACACAAAGCTATTCAGGGACTTAGGCTACAAAGCCATTGGTTTGCATTTATGCTGCCATAAACCAACAAAAATGTAGGCCAATTCACTAACAGACTAGCATTTTCTGACTGCTTTGAGAGGTGGTTAGAAGTTTGAGCACTTAATAAGAATAAGAACAAATTCTTCATTGCATTTAGGTGTGGTGTTTTGGTCTAGTTTCTAACACCATTATTATGCAAATGATGTACAGAGTATGGATATGAAACATTACTCCAAATTGAAGTATAGAAGTTCTTCCTTCTCATCCAGAATGGCTGCTAGTAAAATGTGTGACCTTTGTTTTGCATATTGTTTCATGTGCTATCACTGATTTCATGCAGTTAGTTTTTAACACATTTTTCTGTGTTTATGATAAAAGAAACAGTTTCAGAGAACATTATCACAATTATAATTGACTTAGTTGTTACATATGTTATATTTGGGAATACACTTTCTTGGATTCTCCCATCTCGGATTCCACACTCTGTGAGGACTCAAACTAGTCAAAGCTAACAAAGAACTAGAATCTGTACTTTACTGAGAAAGTGTAATCCCAAATATAACATATGTTACATTTGACCACTTTCTAAATGGCATTGTGTATTCATGACAATTCACTTCAATATGTTTTGCATTTATTCAGTCATTAACATAAAAAATTATGTGCATACAGTACTTAAATGTGACATGCATATTTCTAGTTTGCACAATATCATATGAATTGAAAATGAAATTATACTGAAGTCAGTTTTTAAGTAAACCTACCTGGGAAAGACTGTGATGGACATGGCTTCCTCATCTGGCTCAAGCAGCGATTGGATCTCCTCCCGTCTAGAAAACAACAAACGTGTAGAAGATACTTTGTCTTTTCTTGACAACTAACATGTTTGTGTCATCTTGGACCTGACAAAGTGAATACTTTCAGTTTCAGGAGAATGTCCTAGTTATTAAGACATTTGCCCAATAATGATGGTGTCAGAGAGGCAGAGACTGGTTCTGGTATACACTGATTGTATATTACAGGGGCGGTGGGGTAGCCTAGTGGTTAAAGCGTTGGCTCGTCACGCCGAAGACCCGGGTTCGATTCCCCACATAGGCACAATGTGTGAAGCCCATTTCTGGTGTCCCCCGCCGTGATGTTGCTGGAATATTGCTAAAAGCGGCGTAAAACTAAACTCAGTCAGTCAGTCAGTATATTACAATTTTTCATTTCCAATGTTCCTGCATACCTCAGTTTCATGCTTCTTTCCACCAGGTTGAAGTGAGCCATGAGACAGCCATATGGTTTGCCTGGAGTGCCCTCTACCATGTAGTCGGCATACTCAGGGTGCCAAGTTGCTGGGTAGTCCCTGGAGAAACAACTCATTGTCAGAAGCATGTCAGTTAGATGCTGTTTTTAATATCGTTATTACAACTAATACAAGAATATAACTGTACAGAGAACAAAGTTTTCGAAATGTCCTATTCAACCATTAATTCTTCACTTCATACATTCAAGTACAAGTGAGCATAAACATTTCAAATAAATAATCTTAAACCAGACAATTTCCTCCGATATAAGCATGATGTGTGTCTGTGGTGTTACCATGTCACAGTTTAACATGGAACCCTCCACAGACACATCTCAAAGACAACCAATTTGGATGTTAATCACTCTAATGTCTGGACCAGACTTGATCATTGAAAAACTAACATAGCTGAATTTTTGCCAAGTGCCAAAAACGAAACTGTAAGAGTTCCGCCCATGACCCCCGCTTGAAATGTATTCTACTTATTATTATTATTTCAAGGGTTTGGGTTTTGGGTTTTAGGGTTTAGATTTAGCATTATGTTAGGTTTAGGGTTAGAGTTAGGGTAGGCTTTCTTTAAAAACCACCTATACTTACTATACATCTTACTACCCTTCTTAGGTATAGAATGATGAAAAATGAGGGTTACGGGCGGTAATTTTTTCTAACGAAACGGTTCAAGCTTAAAAAATGACGAACCAATTGCAGCACCTGACACATGAATCATATTGGATCCTGACACACCTTCATAAATATTTTTACAGTTTGCATGATATTATGAGAGGCACATGTTTTGCATGTGCATTTCAGTACGCTAAACCATGATCGCCTGTTTGGACCAAGTTTTAAAAAATTGCCCTTGGATTTAGGACGTATATAATTAATGCTTGTGTATATATGATACAAATTTGATATTGGGGCTTTCCAGGTATTGAGAGACAGATACATAATGACCACAAATCTGGTCAAGAAACGAGGATTGTTGAACAAACACCTGTTGCTAACCAACTGGTCACCACCTAAACGTACTTAGTCTGCCTCTGGACCAGGGCCTGAAGGACATCCTGAGCTTTGAGAGACAACTGGGTCTTCTTCTTGCTGTGGTCAAACTTCACCAACATGTACTCAACCTGAAGAGAAATGCATGCATTATGACCTCTTAATTTTCCCTTGGGTAAGAGATTTCTTTTCCCCCCATCGCAATATCTGAGCTCTAAACTTTGAGGAAATAGGAACATATCGGATAAATATATATAACAAAATATTTACATGTGTGGGGAATGTCAACTCAAATAGTAACTTCTTGTCACCTACTGACAATGTTCATCATGTCTATATAGTTAGAACAAAATAATACCACAGGTAAAGTGGCTGAACCTTCAAATGTGAAGACCCGTGAAGATCTGGGGTAGAATAGGTCTTCAACAACCCATGTTTGCCACACAAGGCGACTATACTTGTCGTAAGAGGCGACTAACAGGATTGGGTGGTCAAGCTCGCTGACTTGGTTGACACATGTCATCGGTTCCCATTTGCGCAGATCGATGCTCATGCTGTTGATCACTGGATTGTCTGGTCCAGACTCGATTATTCACAGACCGCCGCCATATAGCTGGAATATTGCTGAGTGCGGCGTAAAACTAAACTCACTCACTCAAATGTGAACATTGTGATATATCATACAGAGGGGCAGTGTAGCTTAGTGGTTAAAGCGTTCGCCTGTCACGCTGAAGACCAGGGTTCAATTCCTCAAATGGATACAATGTGTGAAGCCCGTTTCTGGTGTCCCCAGCCATGATATTGCTGGAATATTGCCAACACTAGAGGAGAAAAACTGAACTCACTCAATCCCTTACTCATACAGAAAGAGAAGGAAAGAAGGTACTTCAAATAATTGATATAATACTGAATAAAAAGGATTCTTATAAAATGTTCTCAGAACATATTTTATATATGTGTTTTGGGAAGACCTGACTTTTGGTAGAATATGAAGAAATAGACCATGATCACAACTGGTAAGTAATATTCCCAAGGAACCATGGTAACACAACCAGGATTCTTGGATTCCAGTCAAATTTATGAAAACAATCTTTTCAAACTTTTTTCGTTTAAGTGATGATTAACTACATGACCTGGAAATGGGTTTCCATGGTTACTGTTTTTCAAACAGAGATCAGAATAACGTTATTAATGATTAGATTGTGGTATAAATGATGAGCCTAATAAAGCAAAAATAAACTCTATGAAATATTTACTACCAGAAGAAATGAAAGTCAGATTGTTTACAAATAAAGTAAAAGAACGTTCTATGAAATCAATTCACAGAATGGAACTAAGACAATTTTGTAAGTGCTTTGCCAACATACTGCATGACATATATTTGACATAGGTATGTGTTCTACTCTCAGAGTGTGGTCTCGGCCAAACAATGTACTAGAATTTGAATTTTACAGAGTAAGCATAGTCTCTAACATAAAATATGTTATACCTGACTGCTTTCTTAAGGCATGAATGCTTGCAGCAAGTGCAGAAATGGGCTCAATGTAAGTGCCCAGTATTTATCTCCGTCAGCTTATGCTTGATGTATTAAGAACACACTCAATATACACAAATATATTTGTAATCGAATACTTCAATGACGAAGAAAACAATATTCACATACAGTTTTAATTCACATTAATATGAAATTTGTAAAACATCAGTTTAAATAAGAACATCATTTATTCATGTTCATACAACTAAAACATTACACAAAAACTCAAACCTTTCATGCAGGTGTTTACAATGAACATAAGGGTGATATTTATCTTATGCCCTTACAACTTCGTATGACCTCATTTAATAACATTTGACCTGTGAAGATCAGGGTTAGGGTCTTCAGTAACCCATGCTTGTTGTAAGAGGCGACTAACGGGATCAGGTGGTCAGGCACACTGACATGGTTGACACATGTCATCGTATCCCAATTGCGTGTGATGTTGATCACCAGATTGTCTGGTCCAGACTTGATTATTTTCAGACTGCCAAGTGCCATCATATAGCCGAATATTCCCAAGTACAGCGTAAAACTCACTTTAATAACATTTATTTATAAAAACAATTTTAAAAAGTCTCTATAAATTTACCTGACATGTTCAAGTAACCGGCACTGTGACCATATTTGGATTATGAAATTTTGAACCAATTTGGTAAAAATGGCTGCTGGGGAAACAGGTCCAAAATCAAGATTATGTTTTCAATCTTGTCACTCTTAATGTCAAACATTAATAACATTCCATGCACGATTGTATCCAGCTGAAGTGAATAAAAAATATACAAAAAAAAAATAACATTCCATGCATGAATTCATCTTTTCAAAAAAGAACACATCATGTATAAAATGTATATTTTAAAGAATTTCAACAACAAGTCGAGATAAAAATTTTTTATCTGAGATGTTTGATTAACAAAAACATGACTGCCCCCTCAGGCTCATATGTCATGGAAAAATGTCTCATAAAGAGGAGAGGAGTAACCAAAATATGATTGTCTCAAGACCTATCTCCCTTTACGAACACTCCCCCCAACCCCTCTTCCCCTACAATGGGCCTAAATTATAACCTAGACCCTAACCAGTGGTAAGGTTGTTAATGGCATCAATGCAACAATAACCATTTCAGATAACAGAATACTGCACCAGGGGACCTGGACAATCCTTTATCATGGCAATCTCCACTAAAATATTTTGCGCAGACTCCTATCCAAATGTTGGGTAACCCCATACCCACCATCCTCGATAATCTCCAGGGTATACGTTCCAATAAATCTCCATTATACCCTGGATGCATCTACTGCTTGGCCCGATAATTTTATTACCTCCCTTGGTTGGCTTTTTATCCAGTCAGGTGTCTACGCTGGGAAGTTGAGCGTACCAATCACAAGGTTTCTATCATAACTCACTTTCGCTTGTTTTACCTAACCGATTAAACTTGGCAATACTATTGTTGCAGAGGTACTTTGAAAGAGGTAGAAGGAGTTCTTGCATATATATTTTAAAGGTTTCAGGCTTGTCAGTTTGGCTGTATGATTCCCCCCCTACATCTGAATCGCACAGCAAGTAAACCTTCGCAGCAGCGGCTGCTACCTTTGTTGACACTGGCAAGTTCAATTGTAACGGCTTATTTGACTGGTTACAGTGAGAACTTGTCCTCATTAAAGCAAATCTATGACCAACGAAAATATACAATGTATATGATTTGAATTATCAGTAGCACGGACATGGAATTCAATGAATGTTTCAAATGTACAATGAATGAATTATGGAAATATAAAATGAAGGAATATGCGAATGTTGGAAGCAGATAGTGAACATAATAGTGATGTGAATAACTTGGTATTAAAAAGAAAGACAGGAAGAATTTGAATTTAGTGCTAAATAATCAGTTACTGAGTTAGAGACATATGGTACTGTGTTGTCTGAAGTTCTGTACCTATTAATGGCAATCTGGTTTGGGACAAAATAGGTATGTTTAAGGTATTTTAGTTGGGTACGAACTACATGGAGACGGATCGCCTAGTATCAAATCTGTTGTTTCAAATATAGTATACTTCATGACAGTATATTGGCAAGACAATCACTCCAAACCATGATTTTTTACAGAATAAAACCCGATTGTGTCTGGTAGAAAACGACCTGTCCCACTGGGCCCCCCAATGGCCGTGGTGATGACCTATATATTACAACAAGATATGAGCATATTTTCAATATGACGTATCAAAAGTAGCCTCACCTCGTCTCCCCAGTAAAGAACATCACGGGTTCGTCCTTTTAATTTCTTGTACTGAGTGATAAACTGCTTGATGCCATGCTTACGAACATGCTCAGCGTGTCGCTTCGTCTCTTCCCAAGTCAAAGGCGAACCTTCCGATAACAAACCCATTCCTCAGGACTTGATGAGCGATCTGCACAGATACACCGCGCAAATGCTATTGCTGATATAGTTGGGATTGTTACACAAACGCAAAATGACTCTAAATGTCTGCTGACATAATACACTTCACAGGCGATCAGATCTGTTCTGTTGTGATGTTTATATCCTGCACTTAAATTGATGTCATCAAATATTTTCCTAGTAACTGGTTATATCATATACTGCATCTGGTAGTCGTCTGCCTGATTGCAAAAAACAAATTATTAATTTCTGTGTTCAGTTGGTTAATCTGACAACACTTTAGAGGATGCATGATATTTTTAGTAGTATTATATTACACTGATATTACATATATTTGATATCAAGGTGATCTTTATGTATAGATCTGTACGCTTCTAACATCATATGACACGTGGAATAGCCCGCTGATCATAAAAACAAAAAGACAAATATCATTATTTACCCATTTGACGTTTCGTACTGAATAATTCACCCTAACAGAGAAGTACTTTGCTTGCTTTGTTGAAACCATAGATATTAAATCTGTGAAACGTTGATGGGCGTCAAAGGATTTTTTTTAGAAAGTTGCTCATTGAAAATGTAAAGAGTCAAAACAATACCATGTAAAAATGTTTAAATTGGAAAATAATATTTCCTTTTCATTATTTTGTTTTTTGCAGAACAATTCAAATAACTTTCACGATTTGTGGTTTTGCCGTTTTGACTAAGATTTACTGACATATATATATGATACGCGTATCTTGTAAGTTCAAAAAAGCTTGTTAAATCATAAGCAAACTATATTTGTCGAAAAAGCATTAATGAGAAGAGATCTCTAAAGGTATCTGTGCCTCAAACAATAACGAATGAGTGTGCAAACAAAACAAATATGTGATGTTGGGGAGTGATCTTAAAACTATTCGGAATAGTTGTTACACTACTATCATGTTGACAAATGATGAAATGCAATGCGCATGTTCACTGGAAAGCACCCAAATGACTCAGCAAATATTGGAGACTTCCAGAAGGGTTGTTTCAGCGTTAGTGTACATAACACATGCAGAAATTGCTATGTCATTGAAACAGACTGAAGTCGAGTCAGCAGCTGTAATGGATTCGATGTGTTTTTCACTCCAGGAAACTTGAAAAGACGTTGTAGCGATAATGCAAGTCATCGTTTATTGATAAAAAAAAACTGCGAAAGGAAACCACGCACAGACGCACTTCAGGGCCCACTTCAGGTCTCATCTGCAATCTACTGGCAACAATGAGCTAGTGTATGATTGCTGATCCAGCAAAAGAGTATGTTCATTCAATTCTGTATCAAGGCAGGAGCACGTGATGTTATGCTTGACTGATATTTATTTCTATCAACATGCAAATATTAACGTAAAGGGACTGAACTGTCGTGGAGAGAACTATACTTTATATATCCCTCGAGTTCAAAATGTTCTGAGAGATACAGATCTATTACCGCCCGACTTTAGTAAGAGAGAAAATGTAAATGACATGAAGAAAAAAGGCAAACTGTTGTGCGAATGACTGCACTCCACATTCCAGTAGTTGATAGATGGAGGAGTGGGTGAGACGATAGCTAGTTGATAGATGGAGGAGCGGGTGAGACAATAGCTAGTTGATAGATGGAGGAGCGGGTGAGACAATGGTTAGTTCAGTAGTTGATAGATGGAGGAGTGGGTGAGACAATGGCTAGTTGATAGATTGAGGAGTGGGTGAGACAATGGCTAGTTGATAGAGGGAGGAATGGGTGAGACAATGGCTAGTTGATAGAGGGAGCGGCAGGTGAGACAATGGCTAGTTGATAGAGGGAGGAGTGAGTGAAACAATAGCTAGTTGATAGATTGAGGAGTGGGTGAGACAATGGCTAGTTGATAGAGGGAGGAATAGGTGAGACAATGGCTAATTGATAGAGGGAGAGGCAGGTGAGACAATGGCTAGTTGATAGAGGGAGATGTTTGTGAGACAATGACTAGTTGATAGAGGGAGGAATAGGTGAGAAAATGGCTAGTTGATAGTGGGAGAGGCGAGTGAGACAATGGCTAGATGGTCGAGGGAAGAGTGAGTGAGACAATGGCTAGTTGATATTGTGAGGAATGGTGAGACAATGACTAGTTGATTGAGGGAGGAATAGGTGAGACAATGGCTAGTTGATACAGGGAGGAATGGTGAGAATGGCTAGTTGATACAGTGGTTGATGGCTAGTTGATGGAGGAAAATGGTGAGACTGGACTAGTTGATAGAGGGAGGAATAGGTGAGACAATGAGATAATGGCTAGTTGATAGAGGAAGAGGTTGAGAACAGTTGATGGAGGAAGATGGGTGAGACAATGGCTAGTTGATGGAGGGTGAGATAATGGCTAGTTGATAGAGGAGGTGTGAGAGAATGGCTAGTTGATAGAGGGAGGTGTGGGTGATAATGGCCAGTTGATAGAGGGAGGTGTGGGTGAGATAATGGCTAGTTGATAGATGGAGGAGCGGGTGAGACAATGGTTAGTGCAGTAGTTGATAGATGGAGGAGTGGGTGAGACAATGGCTAGTTGATAGATTGAGGAGTGGGTGAGACAATGGCTAGTTGATAGAGGGAGGTGTGGGTGAGATAATGGCTAGTTGATAGAGGGAGGTGTGGATGAGAATGGCTAGTTGATAGAGGGAGGTGTGGGTGAGATAATGGCCAGTTGATAGAGGGAGGTGTGGGTGAGATAATGGCTCGTTGATAGAAGGAGGTGTGGATGAGAATGGCTAGTTGATAGAGGGAGGTGTGGGTGAGACAATGGCTAGTTGATAATGAGAGTGGCAGGAGAGACAGCGGCTAGTTGATGGAGGGAGGTGTGGATGAGTCAATGGCTAGTTGATAATGAGCATGGCAGGTGAGAGAACGGCTAGTCGATGGGAGGGAAGAGTGGGTGAGACAATGGCCCGTTTATTCCCATACTGCCTACAGGTTAAAACAACATGATACGGTCCAGTGATCAGGAAGTGAATACACCGATCTGACCTGTTCTACCCCTGCTAAGATGAACTTGACTAGTTAGCTGGTTAATTCTATGGTGTCTTCCCACTCTGGGATCAAATAGGGTTAAGTTAATCCTGCTTTGGAGGTTACAATTTAAGCATGCTAACTGCTTCCCAAAACAAATTAAAACAATGAGAATTATTGGATGAGAAGACTCAAAACATACTATACACAGAAGTAGATGCACAGATATATACTAATATAATCCCCCTAATTATCCCTTACTCCAAACGAAGCACTCCTTCTGCATTGATACTCAGACTGTTCCATTATTCTACAGGGCAAAAAATCTTTTCCCAGGCTGCCTACAATGGCCAGTTGATGGAGGGAAGAGTGGGTGAGACAATGGCTAGTTCATGGAGGGAGGAGTGGGTGAGACAATGGCTAGTTGATGGAGGGAAGAGTGGGTGAGACAATACTTCTCGTCTGTTGTTATGCATGCAAAAGAAATATGAAAATTAACTATGTGCAATTTGGTTTAGTCAACATATAAAGAACTGACAATGTGTATTTCAAAATATTTTATTGGATATAAGATGAACAGAAGTATAGCACTAGTCTTAGCAACACCTCTCTAGATACAAATACAGAATTGAATATACTAATAATTATACATTCCAATTAGGTACATTGCATCTGTAAAAGACATGCGATAAGCTGAACAATATACGCGTCTATGCAGTAATTCCGTATAAATGTTGACTAACTAATGTGTCAAATTCTCAATCTACATCTGTATCTATGATGTATTTATTATTAAGAACGCAGAAGTAATTGTCAACATGCAAGAAAAGTTATTGTAAACGAAAACATTTCTATTTGCGTATAAATTCACTGCGCTTTTGAAAAAAAAAATCAAATATTTAGTTTGCATGTTGCATGAAATACGCAGAAGTAATTGTCAACATGCAAGAAAAGTTATTGTAAACGAAAACATTTCTATTTGCGTATAAATTCACTGCGCTTTTGAAAAAAAAATCAAATATTTAGTTTGCATGTTGCATGAAATACGCAGAAGTAATTGTCAACATGCAAGAAAAGTTATTGTAAACGAAAACATTTCTATTTGCGTATAAATTCACTGCGCTTTTGAAAAAAAAAGTCAAATATCTAGTTTGCATGTTGCATGAAATATTCGGGAAATATAATCTATCTGAACAAGGTAAAATCTCGAAAAATAACTATCGTGCCTTGATGTGTAGTGTTTGGGCTTAATTGTCACTCTTTAGTTACGTCTCGACACTACAAGGGAAATGTGATGTATGCTTTTCAGCGCAAAGTACAGCTTCAACAATAATGCTAGGCGAGCAAATATGATCCATATACATTCAGCAAGTCGACTATATGTCCACTATATTAAATGTACTTGATCAAAGTATGCAAAGTGTTGATACGGGCTTAATTATATTTTACGTGAACGGTAATTAAAACTGTCTACATTTCTGATCTTAGTTCAAGTCACTTACAAATCAGATCATGAAGTGGAAAGTTTTAATACTTCATTGACAAAGCTCCATGCTTAGCAGAGAGTACGCGCCGGATTATGGTACATCAACCGCACATGATCACTCTGGGTGGGAAAAACCAACCTTGTATTAATAGAAAATTGTAAACTGAAAGGTTTTCAAATATTGATTAATTTTAATTTTTTGGTATTTTTTTTTATTACTTTGTATGCTTGCTAATGTTACTATTTCGCAAGTTGAGGGACTAAAGTGTTCGAAACACGGCAAATATCGCAAAGCAGGATATATAGCTGATCTGAGTTACAAATTCCAGGTGTCATCTGTAAGCACTATTCAGTTATATATTTGTTGTGCCCGATCATCCTGTATCGCGAGACTGTACTTCGCCTTTGTCAGCATCTGGAACAAACAAATAGAATCATTCAGAAATACCTGTATTGTAAAAAACATCGCGGGCGATGGGGTAGCTTGGTGGCTTAAGCGTTCGCTCGTCACGCCGAAGACCCGGGTTCGTTTCCCCACATAGTTACAATGTGCGTTATATTTGCTGGAATATTGCTAAAACCGTCATCAAACTAAACTCACTGTAAAAACATCAAGGCCACACCATAGTGCTGGCGGGGACGGTAGAGATGTAGTGAGTGAGTTAAATGTGGTCACTTAGGCCAGTATTCCGGTTACAACAGGGCGTGTCAGCTTGACGTGGGAGGGAATCCCGAGGTGTTGCATGTCTTCGATGTTCACCACATTTGTGACACCCAAGGTGGTAAACGTATGGTGTTCCAAAACCTAGAATTATATTCACAACGAACTAGGATTCGAACCCCAAATTCCTGTTTTTGTGTACCGATCACCAACATAGAAGGACCACTGAATGTATGTATTTGTCAAACGGCTTCAATGAAAATGTCCACTTAATCCACTTTCAACAGTATCTCAGTTATTTCACGGAGCGTACAGATGACAGTGTACAAGTAATAGACGGCTACCCCACGAAACCCACGATCTGGCAGTGAGTGTGAGTGAGTGAGTTTAGTTTTACGCCGCACTCAGCAATATTCCAGCTATATGGCGGCGGTCTGTAAATAATCGAGTCTGGACCAGACAATCCAGTGATCAACAGCATGAGCATCGATCTACGCAATTGGGAACCGATGACATGTGTCAACCAAGTCAGCGAGCCTGACCACCCGAACCCGTTAGTCGCCTCTTACGACAAGCATGGGTTACTGAAGATCAATATTCTAACCCGGATCTTCACTGGTTCACGATCTGGCAGGCTGAGACACAGACACGTGGACCACACAATGGGAACTGGTTATAATGCGGAAGTCCCTCCAGTATACCTATCTTGTATGGATCCGACGACCAAACGGTTAACATATAGTTAAACAGTTTGATGACTAATTTAGTTAATAACGAAACGTAAGAATAGGGAATGTGGAGAAGCGAGGTAACCATTGCATTTATAATCCATTTCTCAATTTTCACTCGAACGATTTACTGATGATTTTTATACACAAATTGTCACCATGGTTATATATGTCCAGGTGGATCCAGCTTACATTGTTTCGAGTGTAAATACAAATACCCATAGAAAAAATCTACATGTTGCTTAGTGCTTTGAACATTTTTACCATTTCTGAAACCATTTAACGGTATTGGAGAGACATTTCAAATCAAGTTGGGCCGGTTGCAGCTGCTGACCAATCTGGATAATCCGAACAGTACGGATATATTGTACACAAGCCGAGAAACTCGATCAGGGAAATCTTGGTTTTTACAGCTCATGCATAGCGGATCCTGACGCTTCAGAGGGGCGCTATTCACCACAAGGAACGTATGCAGGGCGCATATAGGCCTTTTGAGGCCCAAGGTCGCCCTAAAACCTTACCTACCTACCGTATTCAACTGTATGTGATCTTGTCATAGTTACATGGGACAACCATTCACACTGTCGCTACCAACTGTAGTCCGTATTCTCACCTATGGCTCCACTTTCAAAGCATTGAGAGCAGCCTGGAGGCGGCGGCCAAACTCAGCATCAGCCTTGCCGAAGTTGTTGACAGCACGTTTCTGGATGAACTCCTGGGCATTGATCAGATGCCCGGCCAGGTTCTTGATCAGATGGTCCCGCTCAGCAGGGGGCAGGACCTGGATGAGGAAGACACGACACGTTTTTCACACCAAGAATAATAAGTTTCTAATATCTGCCGTAGATATCAGTATGACGTAGATTTGGTGAGGCCACCAGGTGATTGCGAATAGTGTAAGCATGGCTTACTCTTTCCATGACCACATCCACTCACACGAGTTTCATTAAAGACTACAGCCACGGTGCGAAGTTAATGTATGACCACACAGGGAACAATGTTAGTTACTTAAGTATTCACTCAAGGTGGAACAAATAGGACCGTGTGGGTATGAGAGTGATGAGCATGCGGGAATGGGGCTAAGTGCCATGTTTTAACACTACTGGTTACGTCATTCTGAGAGTCTACCTTATTCCAGAAGATGCCGACTTGACTGAAGTTGTCTTCATCCACTGTGCTGTATCTGGCCACGTCTCCGGTGATCTTGAAAGGGCACTCCATGGCCTTAGGGTCCTCTTGTGGCCCGGAGAAGCTGTTGGGGAAGTAATTAGGAGCGCCAGCTGGTGGAAAGATAGGAAGAAATCCTAAATAAGTCTTTGTAATTTGATGAGGGTTAAATGACAGAGAAAGAACGTTGTAATGACGACAAAGCATTATTGCTGCATGGCATGGTGCAATATTTCACCTTGAGCTAGTTGTTAAGCGTCTTTTCACAGCAAGCTAAGCTTGAGTTCGATTCCCAACATTGGTAACGTGTGATGCCCGGTATTTCTCCTTGCCTCCATAGTTTCTGGAATAGTACTGACAGTAGTGTGAAACCATTCACACTGACCCATACCATATGAAACTTCCGCACCTCATTGCCAGCTGAAAATTGGTTTCGGGTCAGAATTGTTTCCTGACAACATATTATATTGTTGGTATAAGAGGCGACTAATGAATCGGTGGTCAGACTCATTCACGTGGCTGTGTGTAAAGATGACCCGAACGTATTGATCGTATCTCGTAATATCAACGAAACTGATCCAGATTTAGGCATGTACAACCCGCCACATATGGCCTGAATATTGCTGTGTGCACCATTGAATAACACTCACTCACTCACCCATCCACACAGCCACTCACTCACTCACCAACCCAGCCACTCAATCACTCACTCAAACACACACCCAAAACTCACTCACTCACTGGCTCACTCAGCCTTTGATCCACTCACTACCTCATCCCTTCCTAACCTTGGTTGTCGTCCACACACTGAGGGCCGTCGCGTTGGTAGTTGCGGAGCCGGGTGTTGTAAGGGCAGTTGACGGGGAGTTGCAGGTAGTTGCTGCCGAGGCGATGTCGGTGGGTGTCAGAGTACGAGTAGAGGCGGCCCTGAAAACATAACGAGCAGGAATGTCTGAAACATCTTTCTTGCGACTGTTTTTAAAAACATATTTGTATTGGATATTTTACTGTGAGAAATCAATAATCTGAAAAAAATCGATTTCTCTCATCAAAGTAAACATAGAATTCCGTATGTCATTATCTAAATAAAATATAACAACAAATGCCATCGATCATATCAATATTTGAAGCAAGAATACCTGGGTTGACTGACACGTGAGTATATTAACCGTACATACACCTGACAAACACCATGACATGTAACACGTGAGTACATCAACGGTACATACACCTGCCTGATCTGACATGTAACACGTGCGTATATTAACGGTACATACATCTGGCAAACACCATGTCATGTATCACGTGAGTACATCGACGCTACATACACATGACTGATCTGACATGTAACACGTGAGTATATTAACGGTGCATACACCTGCCTGATTTAACGACATGTAACACGTGAGTACATCAACGGTACGTACACCTGACAGACACCATGACACGTAACACGTGAGTATATTAACGGTACATACACCTGCCTGATCTGACATGTAACACGTGAGTACGTATATCAACGGTAGATACACCTGACACACATCATGACATGTAACACGTGAGTATATTAACGGTACATACACCTGACTGATCTGGTATGTAACATGTGAGTATATTAAAGGTACATTCACCTGACAGACGCCATGACATGTAACACGTGAGTATATTAACCGTACATACACCTGACAGACACCATGACATGTAACACGTGAATATATCAACGGTACATACATCTGCCTGATTTGACGACTTGTAACATGTGAGCATTTTAACGGTACATACACCTGCCTGATCTGACGACATGTAACACCTGAGGATATTAACGGTACAAACACCTGCCTGATGTGATGATATGTAACACGTGAGTATATTAACCGTACAAAGACCTGCCTGGCACCATGGCATGTATCACGTGAGTATATCAACGGTACATACACCTGACAGACACCATGGCATGTAACACGTGAGTATATCGACGGTACATACACCTGCCTGATCTGACGACAGGTAACATGTGAGTATCTTAACGGTACATACACATGATTGATCTGACGACAGGTAACATGTGAGTATATTAACGGTACATACACCTGCCTGATTTGACGACATGTAACACGTGAGTATATTAACGAAACATACACCTGCCTGATCTGACGACATGTAACACGTGAGTATATCAACCGCACATACACCTGACAGACACCATGCCATGTAACACGTGAGTATATTAACGGTACATACACCTGACTGATCTGACGACATGTAACACGTGAGTATATTAACCGTACATACACCTGCCTGATCTGACGACATGTAACACGTGAGTATATTAACGGTACATACACCTGCCTGATCTGACGACATGTAACACGTGAGTATATCAACCGTACATACACCTGCCTGGCACCATGACATGTATCACGTGAATATATTAACGGTACATACACCTGACATACACCATGACATGTAACACGTGAGTATATTAACGGTGTATACACCTGACAGACACCGCTCACCTGCAGCATCTTGTCGGGACTGGCCTCGATGCCCGTCACCATGTGGGCAGGGGAGAATGCGATCTGCTCCACCTCAGCGAAGTAGTTCTTGGGGTTCCTGTCGAGGACCATGCGACCGACGGGGATGAGGGGATAGTCCTTATGGGACCACACCTACAACAGGCAACAACATACATCAGTTGTATTGTCATATGGAGGACCACGCGACCGACGGAGACGAGGTGGTATTCTCAAAGACGTCTCCGTGATGATGCAATGACAGGATTATTAGGACAGTGGGTGCACACCCTTCGTGAGGTCTTGACAGGGTATAAATGAGGTCAAGGATCTCCGTGATGGTGCAACGGCAGGATTATGGGGACAGTGGGTGCACACCCTTCGTGAGGTCTTGACAGGGTACAAATGAGGTCAAGGATCTCCGTGATGAAGCAACGGCAGGATTATGGGGACAATGTGTGCACAACCTCAGAGAGGTCTTGACAGGGTATGAATGAGGTCAAGGATCTCCGTGATGAAGCAACGGCAGGATTATGGGGACAGTGGGTGCGCAACCTTCGTGAGATCTTGACTGGGTACACATGAGGTCAAGGGTCTCCGTGATGGAATAATGACAGGACAATGAGGACAATGTGTGCACAACCTCAGAGAGGTCTTGACAGGGTACACATGAGGTCAAGGGTCTCCGTGATGGAATAATGACAGGACAATGAGGACAATGTGTGCACAACCTCAGAGAGGTCTTGACAGGGTACACATGAGGTCAAGGGTCTCCGTGATGGAATAATGACAGGACAATGAGGACAATGTGTGCACAACCTCAGAGAGGTCTTGACAGGGTACACATGAGGTCAAGGGTCTCCGTGGTGAAGTAACAACAGGATTATGAGGACTGCCCGCTTCCTACCTTAGTGAGGTCGAAAGGGTTCCATTTCAAACTCCCAGCCTCCTTGAAGGTCATCACTTGGATAAAGAGAGACCAGGTTGGGGGCTTGCCGGATGCGATGGCGTTGTACAGGTCACGTGTAGCGTAGTCGGGGTCATCGCTAGCCAGCTTATCAGCCTGGGCTCCTGTCAAGTTTTTGATGCCTTGGTCTGTCTGTTGAAATACGGTAGGATGAGTGAGTGAGTGAGTAAGGTAATCGTTAGACACCAGTAAGAAAATTTGAACTGCCTATATCTACCTAATCTAGTCACATCTAAGGGGAAGATAGACGTTCAGCCATCCCATACTCGTCAGTGACCTGACTTATCTCCCCTGGAGGCCACACTGGATGGAGCAATGTTTAAGCTATATAACGGCAGCATGTAATTAATCGACCCGACAATCCAGTGATTTACATCATGAGCATCAATCTACGATTTGTTGACATGTATCAATGATTCAGCATGCCTGATAGCCTGACCCCGTTACTCGCGCTTACAAACATGGGCCGCTGAAGAACATTTCGAACGCGTCTTCGGAGGGGTAAGTCTATACAACCATACACAGGCTTACCTTGAAGTGAAACTTGCAGTACACACACTCTCCTTTGGCGTTGACCAACTTGAAGGTGTGGCTGCCGTAGCCGTTCATGTGGCGGTAGCCGTCTGGAGTGCCGCGGTTGGAGAAGAGGAAGGACACCTGGTGGGTGGTCTCGGGACGCAGCGTAATGAAGTCCCAGAACATGTCGGGATCCTGTCAACAATCTACATCACTGAAATACGGTAATTCTATACTACTCCTGATTTTATAGGGATGCTGAAATATTTATGTTGCGGACATTAGGGACCTCCGTTTTGAAGTTGAGTAGCGACCAGACATCAGTAATACGTATACCATATGTATTTATGCTAAATAAAGGTGGTCTAACAAAAGGAAACAACACCACATTTATCATCCCTAACCTCGTTGTTTTCAACATCTCGATGTGTAATTACATTCGTCTGTATAAGCATCGTTTAGTTTCTCGGAATATAGCCATACTACGCTGGATAAGGGAACAAATGACACCCAGTGACAATTAGGCAGTCGGAACTCGTGGGGTCAACCTCAAGCAAGAGTTGTACCTTCAGGTTGGTGACAGGGTTTCTCTTCTGGGTGTGGATGAAGCTGGGGAACTGGAAGTAAGAAACGACGATGAAGTCACAAATGCACGAAGTATGAGAGTTTCCGCTTCTTCAAAGTGATAGAGGCATTTACAAGTTAGATGTTGTCATCCTTACTATTCTTCGCCATAATGTCCTAGTGTTGTTTTACAAGTGTTCTAATGTACTTCGGGCCTATAATTTTACATCTGTTCTGACGCTGTTGGAGTATTTTCATACTGGATTCTTCTACCATTACCTGTTCACCTTTACCAAACTTGCCCAGTTAGGTATATATACTGTCGTCATCACCCATCTCTACCAAATATGCAACGGAAATGATATGTGAGCGATTTTTTGATTGCATGAATTTGTGTCATATGATTTAGTGTTTAACCACGTGTTTCGCCAGGCAAAACTACTTTCTTCATGTCCTTTGTGGACTACACAGACATTCCTTAGAGACAATGCAATGTGCACAAATTATGAAACTGATATCCGAAGGCTTGCATCTATTACCGTTTCAAATTTCATAGACATGCCTTGTCAAGGAGGTTAGAGCAATTTCAACAATTGTCGCTGGATATCGTTTTATCTACGTCACAGGATTTTAATACTGTATGACATATGTAACCTCGTAGAAAATTGTCTGTATTTAAAGCTCAAACTCAAGAGGGACAAGTGTCAGGGTAAACCATACACTGCAATTCACACATTAGCATCTAAAAATTAAATTTAAATGTTAAGGAAATTATATCTAAACATGTACGAAGATAGATCCAAACGTTTACAACTGAGAAGCCGTAATCGTGTGTGAATTCTTTCAATAAACACCCTTATCTCTGAGCTAAACATAATTTGGGCGAGGCAGTGAAAGTGTTGACGTGTTCTTCAAGATGAAATCTATGTGACCGCGTTTCCCCAAAGATATCCTCAATGAAGGCATTCTAGAATCAGAATGTCTTGAACGGCAGTGGGATTAATTTGTGCTAAAATGTTAAATGCTTTTCCCTGCTGAGAAGAAACACATGCTGACTAAGTTCACTGCCAAAGTTCACTTGACAGGCATTTAGGAACATTAAAATGTGAATCCACAACTTGAAGTAAAAATATCACGAGGGAAATCAGTTTGATCTTTGCAAGTTATTTACTACCACCTTCAAATATGCACATCTCAAAGAATGAACCTGAGCAGCTAGAAAAAGTGTGTACAATCAAAATGAAATATAAAGCCCACGGCTTCTGTCTGAAAACAAATGAACATAACAGCCACCGTGTATAACACTATTGATGTCGGATTACATGCGTACCTCTCATTGAGCGTCAGCTCTAAAACAATTCAACTGCTGTCTACTAAATGGTCTATGGAACAATTCAACTATTGTCTACTAAATGGTCTATGGAACAATTCAACTATTGTCTACTAAATGGTCTATGGAACAATTCAACTATTGTCCACTAAATGGTCTATGGAACAATTCAACTATTGTCCACTAAATGGTCTATGGAACAATTCAACTATTGTCCACTAAATGGTCTATGGAACAATTCAACTATTGTCCACTAAATGGTCTATGGAACAATTCAACTATTGTTCTACTTCAGTGTCTACTGAATTGTCTATGGACAACCAACTATTGTCCTACTAGTTCCACTGTTGTTGTAGACGTCATTGCTGTACAATTGGTCGTCGACTCACCAGCATAGGGTCCCTGATGAAGAAGATGGGGGTGTTGTTGCCCACAAGGTCCCAGTTGCCGTCATCAGTGTAGAACTTGATGGCGAACCCCCGGGGGTCCCTCGCTGTGTCCGCCGACCCCTTCTCTCCACCTACAAGTAGTTTATTCATATGTTACAATATAACCAGTTGTTCCGTGGAGGGTGATGCATATACAGATGTAATGCAAAGTACCATGATTCACACTGTCATGAATATATACTGTTTTGAATACACCCTATTATACAATATACACATAATGAATACACAATACCGTGAATACACACTATCATAAATACACTTCTTCGAATACACACTAACATGAATATATACTGTTGGGAATACACCCTATTATAAAATACTCACATAAGGAATACACAATACCGTGAATACACACTATCATGAATACACTACTTCGAATACACACTATCATGAATATATACTGTTGGGAATACACCCTATTATTAAATACACACATAATGAATACACAATACCGTGAATACACACTATCTTAAATACACTACTTCGAATACACACTATCATGATTGAACACTATCTTGAATACGTATGTCATGATATGGTGAATACTATTATGATATGCCATAATAAAATACACTATCAGGAATACATGTCATAATGAATACATCCATCGTGAATACACAGTCACTATCATGCACATTTAAAAGGCACGATATGACGACAGATCACATATACTCTAGGGTGGTACAAATACATAAATCACTAATTGGCATCGTTATAAATGAAACCCCGTAATTAACCACAAGTTTTTTAAGAACGAATTTGGTGTTCCGCTTAAGACGAACCACACGTCTTTCATATGTAATGGTTAAAAAAGTAAAAAAAACAAAAGTTTATTTGTTCTTTAACATATTTTCAGATGTGAAGAAGGACCAGGTCAGCACTCTCCAATCTTAAATGAAATCATCTTTCTATTACGCGTTATTCATATTAAATGTTATGCCGAGGCACCTACGATTATTCACTCACTCACATACCCATTCACCCACTCACACTGTCGCTTCTGTTCTGCAGTAGAGCACGTAATCGTGTCATTGAGACCTGTACAGAGTGCTTTCATACGGATTAAAGTCATGACTAAAAAACGACGGATTGTTGACCTACTGTCTGCCATTTACGCCCTTGAATAGATCGTGGTTAATACATTCAAGAGCCGGAGTAAACCTGCTGTTTCATATACCTGGTGATGTGTAGCTAGCCCTGAAGTGGGGACATGAGCATACCTGGGACCAACATGGTACTGCTCCCTCTGTTTACCTTACCACAACATCGTGACATGCTTACCTACAGTTGAAAACCTGACCGCAAGTGGCGTCTTCTTGCCCACACGTTCAAATATCTTTGCTTTACAATACTTGGTAATGTCGTGTGTTACCTCCAAATAGCCGAACGCTCCTGAAAAATTTAAAATAGAATTAGTTTCTGGGAACAAGTGATCAGAATTGTGGGTATTCGTTTGTGTCGAGATAAAATAATGTAACCCTTTCAATAATTGTTATTATCAACGTGAATGAATATGTAAATACAACACCTTCAACAAACGAGATTAAATTTTGAAAAATTATTGATTTATCTATTCTTAAATTTCTAAAGTTCAAGATGCTGTGCAGAGTTGCGTCCCTTAGATTTTCCCGGATTATGATCCTTGGTTCGTTGGAACAATCCAGGTTTCCAGAGTTGCATTTGTGGTTGGCATCTGTAACTAGGAGCACGTTAGGTCTTCATCTCTCATTCAGCTGCCGTATTATGACTGAAAAACGCAAGTACCTGCCCCCTTCGCATGCACCACTCTCTCAGGGATCCGCTCTCTGTTGAAATGAGCCATCTCGTCCGTGAACACAAAGTCCTGCAGCAACACAGGTCCTTGAGGTCCCACAGTCATGGTGGCTGTCTTGCGTCCCACAGGGGTGCCTGTGCCCGTGGTGAGGACATCCGGTTTCTACAATGGAGTACAGAGTATACAGGCTATGAATAAAGACTTACTATATTCTAGATGCTCTGCAGCTAGATAGCATCCAGTTCATACCGATTATATAACATACTTGTGATTGCTACATAAATGCCTATCCTCTGAATTTAATAGCTTTTTGAGATGTTAATCTGAGTGAGTTATTCGCCATTGGGGTGGATATACGTTCCTCAATGATAACAACAGATGTGGCCCTTTTATAACGAACAGTCTTCGCTCAAAACGCGACAGCAGTGAGAATTGCTTTTAAGGCTTCTGTCAATATTTTAAAATAGCAGGGCGGAGAGCACCATATATGAGCTTAACACATATTATTCAAGTGGAGAGCGAACCTGGGCTTTCACTGTAATGAGAAGATGCTTTTACCACAAGGCTACCAAACTGCCCTCCATACTATAGGAGTCGAGTAGAGGTCATCCATCGAGATGACCAGGTGGTGTCTGGACGCTGGTGCCCTTCATTACACATTGTTAATATTGTAGATACAGCCATATGTGTCTCACCATCAATACACGGGTGGTTCTGTTTTGATAGCTTTCAAAATCTTAAATTGGTGAAATTCAAATTCAGCAATTTTACAAGTATCGATTTGCCCTCAGTTTGCCTTAATGCATTTCTGCTGCAGCTTGTTCATCGAGTGTACTACGTAAACTGGATTACGATAGGTTATACACATCGTTACCCATCAGCCACTCATATTATCAGCCATTAAGACACCAGCCAGATGCAATTACCCACAATAGCTCTTGCTGTGTGGACAAGGTTCTTCCGTGTTTACGGGCTACAGGAAGTGCACCAAACCGACAGTTTTCATCATCAGTACCAATAAAAAAGTAACAGTATCTAAACTCACGACACAATAACAAAGCATAATTGCCAATATGGTTCAGAACTGACGAAACCGACAAAGTCACCTCGACAATATAATGACGCAGTAAACTAAGACAAAGTCCAAAGGTTCTTCCAATTGCCTTGGATGGATCTGGTCATGTTTTGAAGTCTTAGAATCTCCAGAAATATGGGCCACGGTGTGACAACCCGATACTGCACTTGTGGGTTTCACCAAAGAGGCAACCGTCTTGGACCTGCGTCGATATGGACCCGCAAGGACCAGCAGGGACCTGCACCATGCTGACACTGCTTTTCAAAACCGCCTCACTACACAAGCAGTTATACAAGGCTTTATACTTGAACATTACTTTGTATGCTACGTGTACATTGTTCGTACATAGCTTGGTGATCTGCACGCCCACCATCATCTCCCATCCTCAACATAGAAACTCGAGTAAAATAGACCCCTAACACTAAGTCTTGTGTAACAGGCCATCAAATTCGCGAGGGTGGTCAGAGCGGGTGTCTATGACCCATATGAAAGTCTGTCCCTGGTAGAATTACTTACATGTGATACTGAAATACATGTTTTTTGTATACCGTTCTGTGACATAAAATAGTACACATAAAAACATACCTTCTGTGATGTGCTGAATTCATTCAGCTGTTCTGCTGCCTTGTCCCTGTTCGCCATGATGCTGCTGCACTGAAGAAATGAGCAGGTCTTTGCACACTCCCCACTGTAGTATATCTATTGAGGTCAAACTGCTTGTTGCATAAACCAGGATCTGTTCGACCAGTTCTCCTGCCTGTATAACGCACACCTAGCTATATGCTTGAGTAGGAGAGTGTGACTTCACGGATCTTGCATCAGGCCGGATTTATATCTATCGAAAGTGCTCTGTCATCGCCGGATATTGTTAACAGAAGTGTAACTGCCTTCCGATACACCAGAGTTCGTGCTTTAAGAGAGAATATAGCCATACAAACCATCAATGGTGTCGATATTGCAAGTCATGGCCAGTACAAGCCATATTGTACACGGTGACAAATATACATCATAATACAACAGCCAGACAGGGAGTATACAAAACAAGGTTGTTAAATAAAGAAAATAGGTCATTGCAACAGTTAAATGTGAAGTTCGGGAGTTTTATAGATGTACCCACCCCTGGTAGACCCATCAATTATTCCCATGACTGCCCAAGGGCTTGTTAACTGAAGCGTTCACGATGGACAAACCAATACAGCACGTATACAAACTTAATGCACACAGTACACATAACCTTTATTGAGTTCCTATTTCAAAATAGTTTTTAACCTCACATTTTCGCGTCAAGTTTCAACTGACCCTGAATTTGAGTTAAGTGTGATTATAACTATTTATCGAACTATCGATTTATCCCATGGCGATATATTGTATTATATTACAGTCATGCCTCGCCATGTTTCGTTATTGCATATATTGCACCGAAAGCATCGTTTCTATTCGAGTTATATATGTGAAGTGAAATTTGCCATTTCCAATACTTGTAGAGAATATTGTCTTAATTATTTACGTTAATACATGTATACTACCCGTTAAAGTATATATAGTTATAGTTTATGCCATGCTATTAATAATATCGAGAGACGTAATCACATGATAGCAATATATCAAGTAAAATATCAGTGCGGAGTTATCAGTCTTGCAACTATGGAAAACAGACCACGGCATTATCAACTTTTCGAAGATCTGTCAAATCTGCCGAATTGTCACAACGTCGACCAATAACAGAAAATCAACAATGATTGATATCGTGAGCATTAATCTACGACGCTCTGTACATGCAAGTCAGAGTATAACGCTAGCTTGGTGACAATGCTAGTCCGACAATGCTCACGAGTTAGTAATGCTAGGTAACTCCCATAAAGTCCACTACACTGTGCAAGTGTTGGCTCTCTGCATATAAGAAAACCGGATCTGACACACCAGGATCGACACGAATGCAGCTCGAGTGCCTCGTCATTGGGGTTAAAGTGCAGCTGTTGCTGTCGTCGAGAGATCTTCGATACAATAATATCCAAGGTTGTGTAAGCAGCTCCCTTATCAGGTTTCTGGAGTGAAAGGGTCACGTGTGTTTGGTTTTTTAGGTGATATCGATAGCAACTCACCCGTCAGGGCAACTATTTACAACTGACTTAGTTTAGTATTCAGTGCCGGGGCGGGATGACATGGAGTCATATAATCAGCCCAGACTAAACCGTAACAAAACAACTGTAAAAGCCCGACCTGGCCGAAGCACCTGTGTAATTTATTCAATATAAACAATCTAATCTCAATGATTAATACATAATAATTTATATATGCATCATGTGTGTACGTGTGTGAGTGAGTGTGTGTGTGCGCGCGTGCGTGCGCGTGTGTGTTCAAGCAGAGGGGATCAATTCCCAGAGTAACACACATATATATGTATATATAGGGGGGGGCACCTGCACGTGTGGGTGGGTGATATTATATCCAAGGACGTCGTCATGTCTTATGTTCATCTGGATCAACCATTCATACTCGACAAATCTAGTGTAACCGAGATATCATACTGTTGACTGTTTTGTGCAGAGTCCCTGTCGTTTCTGAGCGCCATGAAATCTTCAACCATAAGAGTGTACTATCGAGGGAACATGTGCGTTCTGGGGTGGTTTCCGCAATTTGAAGTCTGTACATCCATCCCTAATGAGTCTAGATACAGATGCAACTATTCATCATTATAATGTCTGTGACACCCCTGCAGTGAACCCTGTTTACACATAATAAATACCACGTGTCGTGAATAGCTCTAATAAATGAGATGAAAAGGAGACAAGTGTGTTTTTCTTGTCCTCATAATCGTATGTAATCGCTTGTTGTAGACTCGTTATTTACAAGCCGCTGTGAAATGTCACCGAATGCCGCGTTAATAGCACTGGTACTTGTGAATACAGTAGGCAGGTTGTCAGTAAATAAGACGCACCATTGTGTTTCCAGTTTGCATATCCACTCCATACTTTTGTATTACAAACTAGGCACATAAAGACACTGTGCATACAAAAATTTAAAATCTAAATTTATCAAACCTGTGTAGACACATAAGGATTTAAACTCATGGGTTCGTCCTTGAGACGTGCAATACGTTGTTGCACGTGCATGCCGGGAAAGAGAAACAGAGCAAATGAATGCCACACAATACTGTCACTTTGGAAAGCTCAACCCCTGCCCTTGCGATCGTTCAAAAAATTAAACGGCTATTGAAACGCATAGCATGCGAAGGCTCACGTCTGCACAACGTCATGAGGCCATTGGGATGGTCCGTGGGCGAATGTCTCAACGACAAGTGGCTGCACATTTCCACTGCCACCGGAACACCATTTCTGCACTGGTGAGACGCTACCAGAACACAAATGACGTCATCGATCGGCCACGTTCTGGACGTCCACGTGTAACAACGCCAAGACAGGACAGATGGTTAAGGGTGACCCATCTTCGCCACAGGTTTCAGACTGCAGTGATGACTGCCCGAACCATCCCAGGACTTCGCCGTATCCACCCCATCACAGTTCGACAACGTTTACGTCATCACGGGATCAGACCACGACGTCCCGCGATACGGCCTATCCTGACACAACGTCATCGACAAGCTCGCCGAATGTGGTGCCGAAATCATGTCCGCAGACCCTTGTTTTGGTGAAGAAATGTTGTTTTTACAGATGAGTCCAGGACATGGTGATGGAAGTCAACGTGCCTATAGACGCGTGGGAGAACGTTATGCACAGGCCTGTGTCTTGGAGAGGAATCGCTTTGGTGGTGGTTCCGTGATGATTTGGAGTGGAATAACAGCACGCCAAAGAACTCCTTTGGTGATTGTTCAGGGCAACTTAACTGGTGTGGGCTACAGGGATCAGATTCTTCGACCTGTGGCAATTCCTTTTCTGCAACGTCATGGCCCTGGGTTAGCATTCCAACAGGACAATGCCCGCCCTCATACGGCAAGGGTTGCTTTGGATTTCTTGCAACACCACAACGTTGACTTACTGCCTTGGCCTGCAAAGTCACCGGATCTCTCCCCGATAGAACATGTTTGGGACGAGATGGATAGACGTCTACGCCGTCTTCCTCATCCGCCAGATAACGCCCTTGACCTTGCAACAGAACTTGAGAGAATCTGGCGTGACATCCCACAAGCCTTCCTTGCACGTTTGATAGGCTCTATGCGTCGTCGATGCACTGCTGTTCTCAATGCCAATACCCGTTATTGAGCTTGTGACATGGTCGTTTGACCCCTGTCCCGCTTGTGGACTCTTGACGTCATTGTGATTGACTTTTCAATTGAAATTCTCCCGACTTGTTATGGTCTCATGATCCCTCCATTAAAGTTTATATGTACCTTTGACATTGTTATCGTACTTATCAACTGGGATAATATTTTGACAATGCACAGTTTCTTTATGTGGCTAGTAGTTGCTGACGTTTTGTATCGGTCTCTATTGTCTATGCCTATAAAGGTAGATGGAGTGTACCCAAAATTCCATTTATTGACAGGAAATGTCCTTTTTGTCCACATGACATTGAAGACGAGTATCATGTATTCCTTATTGTCCAAAGTATCAGGAAATACGTCAGTATTATTTATCTTTTACTCTCCTTGAAAATGCAAATCTGTTTAAATTTATCGGAATTCTGAAAAGTGAAAATAATGAAGTTATGTTTAACGTTACCAAATGTATTTATTAAGTTATGAATGAAAGAAATAAACATGAATACTTATAAGTGTATTCTATATATACTCTTGCTCTTGGACAGTGTCATAATCATTGCATATTGATAACAATTTATACTGTATGTATAAAGCTGAAGATCAATATATTGTCAATGATGATTATTTTGGTTTTTGACCTAATATCTTGTCTTGTTTAACGTTATCCTGAAAAGTGAAAATGATGAAATGTATATTTATTAAGTTATGAATGAAAGAAATAAACATGAATACTTATAAGTGTATTCTATATATACTCTTGCTCTTGGACAGTGTCATAATCATTGCATATTGATAACAATTTATACTGTATGTATAATCCTGCCATGTGCTGAAGATCAATATATTGTCAATGACATGTATTATTTTGGTTTTTGACCTAATAAGATCTTGTCTTGTCTATAAATAAAAATGTAAAGGCAAGAATTCTATTTGTTTTTCTTATCCCTTGTTAAAATGCCACCATTGTTACCTCATCAATCATGACTGGATTAACAATCCCTGGCTTCCACTTGTCCATCTACCAATTAACTACTGGCTTCCCTTGTTATCTCATAACTGTTGTTGTTTTAACATGTACATGTATAGCTGATGATTGACTAAGGAATAAGAATCGTCGTGACCCTTCACAATAAAGAAGTTGACATCGATATAATTCTTCCCTATATGTGTATAACTTCTAAATGCCCTTCAAAGACTCAATAAAAGTGTATTTCATAGCAAACGAAAGAAATATTCTGAAAAAGTTAATATAGATCCTGCTCCTAATCAAGAACATTTTGAAAAAAGTCAAAAGACCCTTGCTACAGGGAAAGGAACCATGTGGTTCAAGTCGAACGCAATAGCTTTTAAGGAAATAATGTACAAAAAAGACTAATATCAAAATCGTAGAAAACTTTACAAAGGGCTTGAATTCTGTAGCCCGAAGCAAAAACAGACATGTGACATGCGAAATATTGGTAAAAAACATTCTCGGATGTACTTGACAGGTGGTGAAATGCAGGCACCAAAAGCTGAAGCTGTTGGAATATTGCTCTACAAAGTTGACACAAGACAAAT